TCATTCCCTGCACAGAAGTGCCGTTATCAAGACTGATCACAGAGAAAAGGCCATCTGGACCTCAGTAAAAATTATGTTCTTGATCTTTGGAAATAAAGAGGTAGCTAGATAATTGTCAAAAATGTTGCGCAAATGATAAGAAAGGAGGGATGTCATAAAAATATAGAAGGGTTCATGGTGCAATGATAAAAGCACCAAAGTTCAGATTCCACCTCCGCTCTTAACTGACTCAGTGACCTTGGTCAAGTCCCTTCCCTTCTCGGACCTCAGTTTCCCCATTTTTAAAGTGAGGGACTGAAAAGATGATCTCTTTAGCTAGATGTCGAGTGAGTCATCAAATGCTGGGTGCTAAGGTTTCTTGGAGTCCTCTAATAACCTGCCAAGGTCCCTTCTTCTTGGTTTCTAGCATTCGGGTCGGTGTTTTCTTATGGTTACCGTTTTAAATTTGAGAGCACACCTCGTGACTCATGCCCAGCTCCTCCCCGCTGCTTCCAGCGTTCCTGATCTTTAATTTTTCTAATCTTTAGTTATTGTAGCAGAGTAACATTTTGATAAATTACCAGATGTCCCAACTCCATACATTTCCTTTATTCTTTGTCCTTCTCTGTCCACAAATCTGAGCATCCGTTCTATGCTAACCATCTTAGGAAAGGTATCACATAGCAAAATACAAAGAATAAGGGAGTCATTCCTGGCTTGTGAACTGAAAACCATAAGTCCTGAGTGGATTGGGGGCATAGAAGATCCAGGAAGGAGAGCAAAGCTGGACTGACTAGCTGCAGATTTCCTGGGAAGACTTCAGATTCCAAAATGGTAAAGCAAAACTCTTCCTACTGCCTTCCCTTCTCAAAAATCATCCCAAAATAACAAGGAGAGCAAGTCACAGACACAGAAACTCCATATTAATGAGGCTACAAGTTATCTGTAAAATAAAACCATGACCTATAGAAATGGAGAAGAATAGAGGAATGAAAAATGACCCAATAAGAGAAAGGTCAAAGCTGAATGCCCAGAGTAAGAGATCACGAGAAATGAACCCGTTCCTCCGCTCAGACCCTCATGAAGGCAAAAAGATTGAAGGCAAAGGATACGCTGAAAGGTGGGGCACTGAAAATGGGGGACTTCTTGAAAACCTGTACAGAGGACAAACAGACCCTGTTAGAGCTAACCTCTAAAATGGAGCCAATGATCCCCCTCTCCTGCTATTCACACATTTGCATTGTTTCCTCCCACACTGCACCAGGGTCAGTCTGCGTGGCCAATAGAACGCAGCAGAAGCGATGGTAAGTCACTTCCAAGATTAGGGTACAAAAGACACGCTGCAGTTTCCATCTGGGTCTCTCTCTCTCTCTCTCTCTCTCTGTGTCTCTGTCTCTCTCTCTCTGTGTCTCTGTCTCTCTCTCTCTTTCTCTCTATCACTAGCGTTATGGACTAGTTTAGGACTTCTCAACAGCAACACTAGAAGGTAGAAGATAATGAAGCAAGACCTTACATTCTGACCGAAAATTACTTTCAGCCTAAAATTCTTGCCCTGACTAAACTATCAATCAAATGTGAGGCTGGAATAAAGATACTTTCAGACATTCATAGGCTCAAAAACTTTACCTCCACACTCTCCTGTCTTAAAAAATGGACAGAAGCTGTACTCGGCCAACACGAAGGACTAAATCTCGGAAAACAGAGCTACGGGGTTTAGGAAACGGAGTTTCCAACACAGGCAAGAAGTAAGGGGAGCCCAGGATGATGGCCATTCAGTGGCCGGGGCAGGAGGACGGAGGACTCCGAGAGGAATGTCTCCCGGAGGAAAAAAATCTTGACTGTGGAAATTTGTACCAAGAAAAAGTTTCACAGAATTACTGGAGGTTATGAGGAGGTTTAGCCAGAAATGCAAAGAAAACAAATAAAATGTCACAATTATTAACTTTTTAAAAAGGTTGTTCTAGAAAGAACATAGGATCATGGTGTATTCAATAATGAACAATAGTGGTAGAGTTATAATAATGAAATACTTTTTATTGTCAAAAAACTGTACTATAACTAAATGGAAAGGATGGGCGAGTTTAAGGAGGTGAATAAAAGCAAAAACTTCTCATCCACCGTAATAGGAACTAAGTAGAGAATGTCTAGAGTAGACAAATCAAAAGAGAGCCATACACACACATTATTTATGAACCTGGAGAAATAGCTTTTAAAAAATGGAAAGGGATGCCTCTGGGGAATGAGAAGGAGTGGAGGAGGGAGAGGGGGAGGCTAGGGTTGCTCTTTTTCATTACAAAGCTTTCAGCGCTGTTTGTCCTTCATGGACGAATGCCCAGATGAGGAGGAGGACACCTCAGGAATGACAGCGCGGATGCCACCAGTCCCCACCAGAGACCCTGGCATTGCATAAGCCTCCTAGAATTTGTCCCACCCCAGGAAATGGGAGAGGGACCCCCAATAAACTAGCGAATGTCCCTTACCCAGCAGAATAGGAGCCTGAAATAAAAATCAAATTCAGTCATAGAAAAATTATATTTCTTAACCACCTGAATGAAGGGACTGATATTCACACTTGCTAACAGCACAGCCCAATAGAACTTTCTGCCATGGTGGAAATGTTCTGTGCTGTCCGATGCAGTAGCCATTAGCTGGAAGTGGCTATTGAGCACTGGAAATGTGTCCAGAGTGTCTGAGGAACTGAATTTTTAACTTTATTTAATTTTAATTAATTTAAATTTAAACAGCCACATGAGGTTATGGGCTACCATATTGGATGGTAGAGTATCATTCCGTAAGTCAGTCTGTCATTCGACAAATATTGGTGTCTACTGGGTGCCAGGCCCTGTTCAAGGATATTGGACAAAACATCCCTACTCCCTTTCCTCACAGAGTGTGCAGACAAGTAGGTAAGACAGACAACCATCACTCCAATTAGTATATTATTGCAAATCATGGAAGCACAATGAAGGAAAAGGACGGAATGGAATGGTATAAGAGAATATAACTGTGGCCCCTAACTTAGACTGAGGAGTCTCTCAGGAAAGCAAAAAAGAAAAGCTAGCAATGAAAAGCCTGACTGGAGCCCAGAGCATCTGCAGCCCAGAACACAAGAGAGGTTGGGGAGCCTGAGCGGAGACTGGAGAGGTGAGCAAAGAACAGATTGTAATGGCCGCACAGGCAGAGTTGGGGATCTTACGGTTTACTCTAAGTGACATGAGCAGAGAAGCTTTCAACAGAAGTGGCATGAGCACATTTCCATATTTAAAAGACCGCTCTGGGAGTGGTGTGGAGAACGCAGGGCTGGGGTCTAGCAGAGAGGTGACGGTGACCCAGGAGTGACCCAACCTGGAGGCAGCTCGGCTGGAGAGATGTGAACAGGTTCCGGATGTTTTGGGGGAAGAGTGGTGGACTGGTTGTGGAAGGAGACGGAGAGGGATGGCAAGGAGACTCCCAGCTTCTGACATAAGCAAAGCAAATGGTGTTGCTGAGGAGAGCAGATATGGAGGAGCTCATGTGAGGGAAGGTCAGGGGTTGACGCCTCCAACGCTCTCCTCAGTTGGAGCTACAGGATCTCGGGTGCAGGGATCTGTTCTCCTCCCTGCCCCGGGCCACCACCCAATCTTGGAAGGAACTGGGGAGGGCAGGGGTCACTCCTCTCAGCTCCCCTGTGCATCCCCCCTCCCTGGGCCCAAGCTTCGCTCCCAGCTCCTTCCTCCGCCACAGCACCCTCTGGCGGCCCAGCTCCTCCCACCGTCTACACACCAATCTCTACTGCAGTCTGGGTGTCCACAGCAGCTGCCTTTCACCTGGAACTCTTGCCACCAATTGGTTTCTCTCAGGGCCCCAGGCCTGCCCTGAGAGGGACAGGTGGGGTGCCCAGGAGCCTGTCCCAAGCTTTCCAGAGCAAGGACCCCATGCTCAGGACAGGGCTGGAGTCTCAGCATGAGGGGCTGTGCATGGGAATGGGCTGGATTCAGAGCTGGGGGCCTAGTGCAGTTTGCAGGACAAGAGTGTGACTGGAAATCTAGGGAAGAGCCAGATGGATGGGGGCAGGAGCAGAGCCCAAGCAGAATGGAAAGCAAGGGTAGGCTTCAAGGCAGAGAGCCCCTTTGGGAGGGTCCCTGGGCAGATTCCCCCAGGTAGTAGGGTGCAAGCCCGGGGCCCTTTATGGTCTGCCTGCAAAGGAGCTCAGGGCTGACTCAGGAAGAAGTTTCCTGAGAATGCTGAGAAGCTGGGCCCGTTCTCCATTACACAGAAGAGGCACCACACCCCAAACCCAGCAAGCCTCACCACCAAGGACCACCCAGTTTGAGCTCTGTACCCTAAACGAGCTCATCCTGCCAGGCATTTGGCGCTGTGTGGCCCTGACCATATCTCTCAGGTCCAGCCAGTCCACAGGCCCAGTCCTGACCCATTACTCCCCAACACTCTGCTCGGGGCCAACCCAGGCCCCTGGTGAGCTTGTGCTGGTCTTTTCTATGTCCCATAACCTGACTCTCAAACCAGTCTGAGCCTCAGGTATGCACTCTTTCTCCATGTGGGTTGAGGGCCCCAGTCTGAAAGGCTAAATGGAGGGCCCCCTGGAATTCAGGCCTCTCTGGGAAACCTGAAGAGTCAATGAGACCACCCCACCAGGGATCTGTGCACAAAGAAGAAATAGGGCCCCCTGTGGGTTAGGGACCCCAGCCTAATGGAAGAGGAAGTGTGGGTGATAAATTTTTCAGAAAGGTTCGTGGGGGTCAGGGTAATTCTGGCCGTGCCCCAGGAAGAAGAGTTAGCTGGAGTAGAATCTTCATGACAATCTCTGTAAGGTGGGGTGAGCAGAAGCCAGCCCTGCTTCATGGCCTATGTTCCACGCCTCCACTGTGACAAACACAGGCCTCAGCATAAATGTCACCTCCCTCAGGAGGGCCTCCAGGCACCCCCGACTAGTAAATTCCCCCAGCCATATATTCTCACAGGGCCCCGTGCTTCCCTCTCTCAGCGTTTATCAACGTTCTAGTAATTGCCTCTTGACTTACCTGTTTTCCCCCGCTGGACGTCACCACCATGGGCTCGGAGACCATGTCTGTCTCGTTCACCTGCAACACTGCCTGGTGCAGAACCTGGCACGTTGTGGTGCAAGCGTAGGCACTTTCCCCATTTCAATCCCATTTCAGTAAGGGACTCAGTTCCTTCCTCAGGGAAGATGCGTCACTGGCCACTGCCCTCTGGTGCCAGAGACCTCCTCAAGGAGCTGGTCGGGACTCAGAAGAGGCTGCAGTTTCCTAAAAGCAGAAAAATGCTGCATTCGTGTGCCAATCCCCCATCAATTGGCCTAGTTCAGGAAAAATTGGTGTGCACACTTGAACATCCTAAGAGAAGGATCCCAAGGTCAGGGCCACATCTGTCCTATCACAGGTTAAAAACGTTTGGACTAAGGTGTTGCAGATGGATACATTTTAAAGTAAAACTTCTCACAGAAGCAACAACATTTCTTCAGCTTTACGGAAGCTGTCAGATGCCCCTACAATATTCATTGTCTTTTCTCCAGACTTAAATCATTTCCTCAGCCACGGGGACATCAGTTAAGAATCTGATGTACAGCTATCAGAGAGAATAACAGACACTTGCTGCTCCAACCTTGACTCCTAAAATAAGATAATAATTCTTTTGACACCTCAGAGAATATACCATCAGTTGGTCAAAAATGGATGAAGTCATCCCACTATATTTCCAGGAGCTGGTGGGGGCTGATATTTAAGCACATTTGTTTTAAAGAATTGCAGAGGGGGGAAGAAAGAAGATTGCTAATTCTTAAACCCAGAAAAGTCGTGGATTTACTGCTTGACCGCAGGCAAAAACCACATTAATTTTATTTCAAATATATGTATCCAAGCTAAGAGAGGTTGTCGTGAAAGGTTTAAATCTTAAATCAAATGTTCTTTCCAATAAGGTCATTGGTGACAGGCTGAAATGTTGCAAGGGATGTATTACATGATGGATGTTTGTCATTTATTCAAAGAAAAATGCTACAGTGAGCCTAAAGGGTTATTTCCCAAACCACACCATATTCTCCAGAGGCGAAGCTGCCAAGTGATGAAATCCATGTTGCTCCCCTCCCTCCTCTTGCCACATTAATTACTCCTGCACTTGGCAAGGACAAGCATCCTGCAGGCGCCCTGCTGTCTCCCCGGGTTGTCCGGCTAAGGAACTTAGAGCAGCATATTTGAGCGAACGCTCTCCAGTAGATCACCAAACCCCAGAAAGGGGAGAAGGAGAGGAGCCCCATGCAGCCCTAGAGGTCTGGAGGCTTCCTCAGCATGATGTGTATGGGCATTTCTAGATGTTTGTATTTGGGGACAAACAAGGTAACCAAGGATACCCTCAGCCAGAGGTGGATGAGGATTCCAATCCCACCAGTTGGTACAAGAGCCATCATTGGGGCATTAAGTAAGAAGACCACTGCTGCATCCCCAGCGTCTACAACAGTGACTATCAGACATGTGCAGAATCCCTGAATGATTTAAGGTTCCACAGAGCAGAGTTCAAAAACACTGGGGAATTTGCATTGGCGTGGGTGTAGGCAAGGTCAAAGACTGAGCCACCCTTCCTAGCTGGGGGACCATGGATAAAGGGGGTAACAAAGTAAACCACCTCCCCCTAGAGCCCCCCCAAGTCCTCCCAGAATCCCCTTTTACCCCAAAGACTGAGGGTATCTTCACTGACAAGGAGCTATAATAATCAACTAGCAACAGTGGTTGCAATAAGCAGAATATCAGATAGATAGATAGATGTTAGACAGATAGACGGATGATAGATATAGATAGATTGGATGGATAGATAGAGAGATGATAGACCTTTACAGTGTGCAAAGCATTTTCAACATGTGTTATCTCACGCCCCCTCCTGACAACCTCACCTGGGAGGGAGGGAGCACAGGGGTCTCTCTCTATGTTACAGACAAGAAGCTGAAGCTCAGGCAGATGAAACAACTGGTACAAAACCACAAAGTAAAGGAGACGCGCCGGGACTAAGACTGGCAGTTTCTGTCTCCAACTCCAGTGTCCTCTCCCCTACAAGGTGTGGCCTCCTCGCCCAGCACACCCAGGAGAAGTACCTGTCAGTCAGCATACATATGGGTCCATCACCACACACAGTCCATTCCGAGAGGCCCGAAGTCAGCCTGCGATCCCAGGAAAAATGGCTGACATGTTTCATGATTACTCTGGGCTGAGCTGTATGAGGGAGGGAACAAATAAATTGGTTCCCGAATAATGCCCAAACCCATTTCTTGAGTACTGCAAACAAGGATTCATGGATGTCCATAGAAATGGCCATTATCATGGTGATACTGTGGCTCTGGGCTCCTTGGGTTAACTATCTTCCACAACGTTGGATTTTCTGCTCCGAAACTACATGGAAAAGTCCTTATAAAAAGATAATTCCCTCTACTCGTTGTAAATTGCCAGTATGAATGAGTCATCTTTGATATCATACTCAAATGGCATTTCGTATTGAAAAGCTATTTGTAATTCAAAAGCCTTCCTGGACTGGTAACTTCAAGCTATATTAGCAAAGCACAAAATCTGGAATGTCAAATGGCAGCCCGCCTCTCTCCTCCACACACATTGAGAAAGCACTCTCTCTCCTTAAGTCTTTCCAGATCACTGGATTCCAAGGGAGGCACCCTCGGTTTCTGGCAGTCTTGTAAGTGATCAGCCTTGACTAGGCTTTGGGGCACTCATGCTTCTCTCCCAGAAGACCCCATGTGCCTATCCTTCCCTGCCAGGAGGGACCTTAAAGATGATCTTATCTAACAACCTCATTTTACAGATGAGAAAACTGAGGACAAAAGAGTTGAAGCCCCTTGCCCAGAGAGAAGCAGCAATTTAAGGTATGAGCTTGGACACGGATGAAGAGAGATCCCGGATAAACCAAAGCAGTGGGTGTTGTTTCTAACTGACTGTGCAATCACATATTCAACAGAGGGTGAGCATAGCTCCTTTGTACTGCCAAGCTAAGCTCTGTGCCTTATATGATCCTTACATCCATAGAACAGAAGATGTACATTATTAGCCCTATTCTATAGACGAGGAAGCTGAGGCTGAGTTGTCTAAGGTCACATGACTCATAAGAAGCAGAGCCAGAATCCAAACATAGTTTTGCCTGGCTCCAAAGTGCATGCTCATTCTCCTTCCTCAACCTGGGGAGTCTACAGGGGCGCTCGGTTGGGTTGGTCTGGAACCCGGAGCTCACCTGGATTTTGGAACTACAGTTCCAGGTAGGCTCCTGAGCGTGTGGCCCTTGCTCTTGCAGCGAAGAACTCTTTCTGCCTAGCTGTCAGTGGAGCCCGCAGCAGTTCGATGCTTACTGCCCACCTGAAGACACCGGGGCCCTTCTCCTAACCACTGCCCAGAAGATGCCTTTTATGAGCCGAGTAGCTGGGAATCCCCACCTTTAACCTGTCACCACCATGCTTAAGCCCCAGATGCACACCTTCTCCTCCTCTGGCACTAGGAAGCCAGCTGACTTCAAAGTCTTCTGTCAGGAGGAGTCGAAAACCTCCTGGACCAAGATCTAGGGCAAGGTCCAGGAGGGACGTGCGACTCAGAACACTGTAATTCAGATTGCCCGCTAAAACCTGCCTCACACTGGCACGGACGCCCTCCAGACCAGGCAGCCGGCCTCCCCCGGGCCCTGGCTGCACGCTTCAGGAGTCTGCTCACTCAGAGGAACGGCAGACTGCCTCTGGATGCGGGTGGGAAAAGGAAAGCAATTGATTTTGTTTGGGAGAATTTTATGTTAGTCCTTTTTATTATCTCAGGAAGGGTCATGAAATCCTCTAAAGCAAAATCAATTACAGCCATGCTCCAGGAGGCCAGAGCAGCCCTTTGGCTTACGAGCCACAGGCAGGTCTCCAGATGAGAAGCCCCAGCCTTTGAGTAGCTGCTGGTCCTCTCCCTGCTGGCTTGGGTCCATGTCACCCTCTGCCCTCCATAGAGCTCTTTCATCAGATGGCCTTGCTCCAAGACCCTCAGTAGTTGGTGGGACTGGGGAAGGACACCTGGTCCAGGCTAGACCAATCCGTTCCCTCTCCTAGAAATTAGGAAGTGGATCCAGAACCTCTGAATGCGGCAGGAACAGAAGGGATATTAAGCTGTCATTTAGGGAGAGGGTATCTTCTGCCACACGCTCCAAAAAGCAGAAAAAAACCCATCTGAGCAGAGAAAGAAGCAACTGATGGGTGGAAAGAAGTAGAGACAAAAGACAGAGTTCTGGCAAGTCTTCAGACCCTGGTACCAGACCCTCTGACTGGGCTTGACTTCTGGAAGGAACTCAGGCGGATTGGTAATCCCTTTTTTCTCCATTAAACTGGCTCAAGCTGCTTTGAGTACTTTGTCACCAAATTTTAGAAGTAATTATTTTTCTTCAGTTTGCTTGGTAAATTTAAGAAAAATACCCCACAAACTTGTTATTTTCATTAAGAAACAATATGTTATATGAAATATCCAGAATAGGTTAATCCATAGAGACAGAAAGCAGATTGGTGGTTGCCAAGGACCACCCAGGGGTGGGGAGGCGGGAGGTGGGGAGCATGGTTAATGGAGTGACAGCTTTAATAGTTAAGGGGTTTTCTTTCATGGTGACGAAAATGTTTTAGAACTTGATATAGGTGCTGGTTGCACAACATTGGGAATGTACTAGATACCACTGAATTGTACATTTTCAGATGATTAATTTTATGTTACATAAATTTCATCTCAATTTTCTAAAAAAAAGAAACCATATGTTATACCTACGAATAAAAGGAAGTCTCATTAAAGATGCAGAATTTACCAACTTAACTTGCTGAAGTATCTCATTCATTTGTTCATTTGTCCATCAATTCAACAAACATGTATTAAGCATTGACTCTGTGCCAAGTGCTATGCTGAGGGCACTGTGGTGAGTGAGACAGACACAGTCCTTGCCTGGGAGAGCTCGCAGTAGACAATTCACGAGCTGTGGCATTAAAGTACTGCAGGAGGGTCTCATTGTTTTTGTCCTCCAGCACCCTACTCCTCCCTTTCTTCCAGCAGTAGAACTCCCCTTTCCAACAGGGAATGCCTTCTCTGTGAGACAGAAAGGAGGCCGATTCCACCCACTCTTTCCAAAAGGTCAACCAGGAAACCCCATCCTCCTGGCCACAATGATTGGTTCAGGAATAGCCATGAGACCACAGACAAGCCCATCAGAGTCTCCCTGGAACTTTTCTGCCATTGCTATCCCGAAAGACCCTGTCTTTCCGCTGGTGTTGCTAAGCCACTGGTAGGATGCAAGTATGGAATGCTGATGGCCATCTTGCCGTCAGTGGAGATAACAGGTCCAAGAAACTGAGAGAAGGAGAGAGAGACACAGAGCCTTAAAATTAGCTGCCGCACTGATGTTTCCAGTAACTGAGCCAAGAAATTCTCTTCTTTTTTTGGCTTAAGCTACTTTGGGTTGTGTTCCATCACTTTTATTTAAGATTCTGTCTTTGCAAGGAGGCCAAGTGCTGTGATGGGTAAGTACCAGGTACCATGGAGCTCCTAGCAGAAGCATCTCTTAGAAAATCACAGGTTATGGCAGGTACTTTGTCCTGTAATTTCCGTGTATATTCAAGATTTCAATGCTGATTATTGAACATTTATGCTCAAACTGCTGTTGCTGTACATTGCTACATTATGATGTCTAAAGCGTTGTATGGCCATTGATGCTTGGAAAACACTACACGACAACATACTGTCTCTAAGCCCTTGAAGAATAGTCTATAAGGGAGATACTCCTGGGTCCTCTATGTTTCTAGAGCCCTGAGAGAATAGCAGGCTGAAGCCACACAATGGTTCTGGCAGTGCAGGGGGAACCCTCAGTCACTGGCAGCTCAGAAGAGTCCAAATTGATCATGAACATCTGGCATCCTGCATCGCATACTTCATCCCAGCAAGACTCAGTCTGGTTCCCTAGCAACCTAGCTCCCTTCCTGTCCACTCCCCCAGAACTGCAGTCCATTCTTCCTCGTAGGCTAGTGGGTTCGTTCTCTGATGGTCTGATTCTCAAAGTCTCAGAGAAACTACCTCTTCCCTGCCTCAACTGCCCTCCACGAAGGGAATTCTCACTGTTCAGCTCATGTGACATTTACATGCAGCTTTCACAGTTTACCTTTCTCATCTTTCTTCGTCAGATGCTTACTGCCACCCCATGAGGTAAGAGTTATTCTCCCCATTTTACAGAAGAGAAAACTGAGGCTCAGAGGGTCTGAGTAACTTGCCTAAGGTCACATTGCTAGCAAATAAAGGATCTATGTTAGGACAGTTAAAGAAGATATCACCCCATCACAACAGACTGCATTCCACATGAATACTCATAGGCCAAACACTCTCCTCCCCAGGTTTCTGGACTTTTCCAGGTCATCTACTTTCAGTCTCACTGAAACTTTGTGCCACCTGCTGTTTTAACTGGCACAGGCCTTGAACCTACTTTACCATCCTGGGTGGGGTTTCCACATGCTGCCCACATTCTCAGGGACATCTAGTCTCCTTCTGTTTTCCTTCTCACATGTGAACATCTCAGGAGGTCACAGGGTCACAGGCATAGGACAATGGTTGAAAAGCACAGAATCCAGGAGGCCTTTTGACAAGCAGAAGGATCAGGCAGCCCCAGACAGTTACAGCTAATATACAAGTTGACAACAGCAATACACACAACAATTCAGGGTGTGGCTGACATTTCCAAAACTACCGCAGGCTTTGCAGCAAAGAGAACTTGACCCCAGCAGGACTCTCCCTGACTCGCTGGGACAGGCTGAGGGGTACGTTCCACCAAGGCTGTGAGGTCTCTTGGAGAAACCAGAAGCAAAGCACTTTCTCCGGAAGAAGGCAGCACTGAGTAAGCAGAGATATTGTGCAAACTTGTTCAATTCAATTTAAAATTCCAAGGAAAACTCCGGGAGACATTCTGTCACGCTGTCAGCAGCAGCAGTTGCCTGTGACAGGGCTGGTCATTCTGAGCCAATTTGCCAACCCCAGGTAACAAAAGTCGATCTGTGCATGGGAATACATGCTTATGTGCATGCGTGCATCTGTGTATGTGTAGTTTGATGATTGTGGCATATAAACCAATCTTTTTGTAGGTCCAAAGCAGAGAAGAATTGGCAACTTCACTTGGTTCGAACTACTGTCTTGAAAAATGGAAAATCCCATATTCATTGATGATTTATTCACAACCCTCCTCTGAAGACTTGCTTTTCAAAATCAACAAGCAACCCAAAAGAACGATTTGGTTTTTATTTGACAAGCGGGCCTGAGAGAGGCAGGCCTTGCTCCCAATTACACTGGTACCTGGCAGCTAGGCAGGAGGGCAGACAGCTGGCCGTCCCAGTGCATCATCTGCTGGACTCAAATCAGACCCTTCTGTGTTCGCCTCTGAACCCCTGTTTGCCTCATCTGCTGGCGAGATTATCCTGTTCTCTGCCTCTGTCTCCTTGCATGGACTCCACCCACACTCTGCTTCGAAGTGTGAAGTCTTCCCGGCCTCGAGCCCAGCCGGCGACTCCATCCCTGGCTTCTCAGCCTGGAAACATCTTTCCCTGGCTTCTCTCTCCCTCCACCTCCCTTGCTCCCTTGCTAGGCCCCACTCAGTGCCAGCACACCACAGGATGGCTCTTGCAAATGTTTTTAAACGTCTAGGAAATGTATGACAATGAAAATGCTTGTCATTTTTATCCAGATCTGTTCCCCTAGAGATGTGGGCAGTCTTGAGAAAACCTCCAAAAGGCAACAAGATGCTTTCAGGCAGAAGAGGCTCAGGGAGAAGCCGGGAGCCTTGCAACTTTGTTGAGGACCCAGGGAAAGAGAGACCTGGGAGGTGGCAGCCCAACAAGGGGCAGAGTCACCAGAAGAAAGCGGCTGCCAAGGGGAGCGAGCCCTGCAAAGGCACCTAGAAGAGTCTGCAGGTCCGATTTGCCCCAGGAGGGCTTTTTCAGGGGAAACACCCTGAAGCAACACGCCCGAGGCTGGCAATGCAGCCCTGGGTTTAGACGTGGCTGCTGGCTGTCTTGCAGGAGGAAGGCAGAAGTTGAGAAGAGGAAAAGGAGGCGGACAGAGGGGGTCAGGAGGCTAATTTGACTGGTTTTAGGGTCCCAACTATGATAGGGGCTTATACAACTCCTCCCTTCTTACAAAGCAGGCGGTTTCACCAATTCAAGGCTCTGGAGCTTGGTAGAGTTCTGTAAAATGTGCAATACTTGGGACATAGTTATACTAAAATATGATTTGCTGTTTATCTGAAATTCAAATTTAACTGGGCATCTTGTATTTTATCTGGCAACCTGGGGAGGGTGGGGACGCTCCCAGAAGGGATACAGAACCAACTGCCCAGCCTGTGCTGCTGTGATGGCATCTCCCCCACCCCACACTTCTTCCCAGAGGCTAAACCCACTACTCTCAGCACAGATGAGGGACATGCTCACACTTCCAGGGGAACATCAAGAAGGTCTCAGGATGCACACCCAAGAGAGAAATGTCAGCTCCCCTCCCAGGCCCCCGCCTCCATGCCCCCAGCTCCTCAGCTCCCCAGCTTCAGGCTGGGCTCTGCCCCAGCTCACAGACTAAAGGTCTGAGCATCAGTGATTTCAGTAGCTTCCCACACCTCCCCATATTGCCAGGAGGTATTGGATACAGACTCAGAGTCGCATTTCTGGTCCCTACAGCAGCCTCTTTTAAGAACAACTGTTTCTTTTCATCGTGACTATGCAAACAATAGATGTGAATGATTATATAAATGATCCGCTGTAAAAACAATGGAAAATAGAGACAATTGTAAAGGAAAGAACATGACACAATGCTGTTCTGCAGTCTTTTTGAATGCCTCTATGAACTTCTTTTTAGGTAACTGGTATCATACTGAATGTTTGGAGGTTTTTCTTGCTTTTTTCACTCAAGCTGTTTTTTCCTTTGACGTCATCCTATTCAACTGAACTTTAGTCAATAAATATTTACCAAATGCCTTTTATCGGCCCCGCACTGTGCGCAGCACAGTAAAGAAGCCTGACAGAGTCTCTGCCCCGCGAGGCTGATGGTCAGGGTGGGAGCCAGACACTGAACCAGGGAGATAAGAAGAGGATGAAACAGTCTCCCACAAGGTCTGCAGTATAATTCAGTTGTGCATTTTGCTTTTGAGGAAATGTGTTCTTAAAAATGCAGAGAGAATATTCTAAAGCATTATATTTAAAGTAAATATTTTGTATATGACTCTAAGTGGTATAACATTTAAATGAAAATAGCTAATGTCTGATTGTATTTTATTCTTGCCTTACATGAGTCCTGGGCCTCCTGGGATTACTACTTAATAAAGCACTCTGACAACTGTGGGGCCAAAATTCATCCTTCGACAGCATGATTTTTAGTGGCAGCATGGAATTCCTTTGTGTAAATAGACCATAAGCCCTTTATCTCTTATTGCTAAATATTTAAGTTGATTCTAAATATTTACTTTTATGAGAACAGAGAAATGAACATCTTCCTGCACAAATTTGTATGCAAATCTAATTATTTCTTTGGGATAAACTCTATAGTCCAGCTATTTCAATAATGAGCCTTGGGGCAGGGACTGGCTAATTACACACAAAATCCACGTCTTCGTCCTCCTGGGCACACACAGGACCACATCTCCTAGCCTCCTTGTAGTTAGGCGTGGCCATGCAACTCATTTCTGGCCAATGGAATAGAGGTGGGAGCGACGTCTCCACCCTTGCTGGGCCTGGCCCTTAAAACCTCTCATGCATGCTCTTCCATGCTCTTTCCTTTTCTTCTAAGAGTGCTCATAAGTCACGTGTTGAAAATGGCAGAGCCACAAGCTAGAAGGAGCCTGGGTCCCCAAATCACCACTTGGAGAAGAGCTGCCTGCTTGCTGGTCAGGATCACCCAGCTCAAACATTACATGAGCAGGAAATGAACTTCTGTTGTCCTAAGTCACCAGCATTTGAAGTTGCATCTGTTACAGCAGCTAGCAAATAACTGACACAGGAGTCCTGCCCCTGCTTCCACGCCTGAGTCCAGTCCCTATTGGGCATCTCAAGGGGTAGAAATGCAGTGGCCCCCACTCCAACGTTCCCTCCCCAGTCACCTGTGCTCTTCCCCAGTGTCATCACAGGGACCAGGACCCAGTCTTGTTCTTGGCAGTCTTCCTCCCTAGGGATTGGCCCCAAAGCTGGGCCTCCATTGAAGCTGCCCTTCCCAGCCACTCACCTGGAAAGACCCCTGTGAAGGCTGCCAGCTTCCTGTTCTGGGACTTGTCTTGTAGCCTCTGCACCCGGAAGGCCAGCACCGATTTCTTTCTGTGGAGCAGAAAGAATCTACATTATCACAGGATAAATAAGCACACCGATTAGCAACAGCTCATTCTTCAGGCTTGGCGGTGCACATCCCAAGCCCGGAAACCTCTATGTCATTTTGTCTCTATGTCTCTTTCATTAGAAAGCAAAGTGGATGATGCAGCCCTGTTCTGGGGAGAGCTGTGGGGTACAGCGCCAGAAGGCATCTGAATACGACGGCCCGGCTGCCTGGGGTTTGGGTGAGCAGGGGATGTGGGCTTTACTATCTCTCTCTAAAAGCCCCTTCCTCCCACTGTGTACCAGGAGGCATCTCTGTAGTCAGGAGACAGGCACTCAAGTCTTTCTTCAAGGAGGCTGCAAGCCAGTCCATCGTTGTGCTGTGACTGCCATCTAGTGGCAGAGGAAGTGTGAGGCCGTAAAGCATCCCAACCACCATCAGTGTCCTAGGAGCACCAGACGATGACCATCAAGATCAAAGTGGCTTCCTCCGACTGCCTCTCAAAGCCCTTCCCTTTGCCTGATCAAAAACAAACAAACCCCTGTTTCCCGTCTAGCCTCTTGCAAACCATATGCTTTGGGGATTCTCTGCGACTAGCTCTTTTAATTTACTTCATTGTTATAAAAATGGTACATGCGCATCATTTAAAAATTAAAACACTACTGAAGACTTTGAAGAAGACAGTCACAAATCACCCCAAATCCAGCCACTCAGAAATAGCCAGCGTTAGTACTCGGGGCCAGTCACCACGGGCGTGTCTCGGTGCCATCCACAAGCAGAGAAGCTGTGTGGCTTCTAGGGGTTCCGGGTTTGGGCTCTGGGGCCCGACTGCAGGCAATCCTGGCTGGCTCTGCCACTTCCTAATATATGACCGTGGGCAAATTATTCGACATCTGCATATCTCATTTTCTCTTCTTAAAAACAGAGACAATAGTGGCATCTCTCTCACAGTGAGAGACTCAACTCTGAAAGACTCGGGACAGTGAGGGAAAAGCTTCACATGTTAGCCATTATTATGATGGATGGAGGAACAGGCAGATAGCAAGATATAATTTTAGGAGAAGATATGTAACCATGCGTGTTACTTTTTACATTAAAAAGAAACCAGTATGGGCGGTGAGAAGAACAGGGATAGTGAACCCATCATTGAAGAGAAAAGGAGCTGAGAAGCTGAATCCTCCTGGGTCCACAGGTGCATCTCCTGGCTGGTTCTTAACCCCCTGCTGCCAGCATGCCCCCAGGGATGCTGCCCCTAGCAGTAGCAGTTCCCACTCAGGAGGAATAAGAGTGCTAATAACCAACCAGGGAGAAGCAGAATTAGGAGAAAAAGCCCATCCTGCTGCTGGCACAAATCTCTGCGTCCCCTAAGGGCAGATGCTGGTTCTCACATCCTGTCGTCCCAGCTCCTCTTTCTGAGCCTGGCTTGACATGGATGCCCACTCACATGGACTAAAGGAATAAGTGACTGGCAGGTGGGCCTGGAAGGCCAGGCCTGGAGAGCCACTCCCTGGAGATGCCCCACACTGTGAAGTCACTGGCAGAATTCTTGCTTCCTATCGACAGACTAGCTCTTACCCAATGCCTGCAGAAAATATCCTAGACGCACCTGTCATTTCATTCTCTGGGTTAGATATTATTATCGCCACTTTGCAGTTAGGTAAACTGAGGGTCAGGAAGACAAAGAAACTAATCCAGGGGCTCATAGCTAGGAAGTAGCTGACCTGGGGTTTAACTCCAGGATCCACACTTCTGACCCCCAAGCTCTTTCGACTGACCCTGTGCTTAGAGCAAAGGGAAAGTAATAATGAACCCATTTTCCTGTTATTTCCAAAGAAGGAGGCCCTGAGAACAGTCACAGGGATGGAAGGAAAGCTCCTAGTGGGGTCTTTTCTCCCTTAACTCTGGGATCTGCCACCTAGGAATGGAGCATGACAGCCTATGTCCAATCCCCCTTGGGGGCCCTTTGAAGAAGGAAGCTGGCAGCCTGGAGTGTGCTGTCAACAATGGCCAGCCTTAGGTCAGAGCCCCAGGGGGCTGAGGGCATCGACACTGCCCCTTGTCCAGGATAGGGGCACATACCCTGGGACCAATATTCCCCTTCCATCCTCGCCTCTCCTCCTCCAATGAGTGGAAGGCTACGTCCATGATGAGGCTCTGGGAGGGGAGAGCACAGCATTCCTAGAAATGTGTCCCAGGATCCCCCGAGCCCACAGATTCGCCACACCTGGGTAGTCCTGACAGGATCCCTAGGTCTCTTTGTGTCCTAGTTTGGCTTTGTACAGATATTGGAATTGGAGCCTGAAAACCTGGGTTCAAGTCCCAGTCCCAGTCCAACCACTTCCTAGCCACGTGACCTTGTGGAAGGCACTCCCCACCTTGAGGCCTCAGGCTGCTCAGGAGCATGAGAGGATAAACTAAGAGCTACCTCCATGGCCTATCCCAACTCTAACCCTACAGTCCTCAGTGGTGACCATAGAGGGGGAAAAGAGAGGAGGAGTTATGCATGAGGCTCCCACTCAACTTCGCTCATCCCCAGATGTAGCAAATGAATGTCTGACTGGCTGTGTTACCCCATCTACCCAAAATGTGCCTGCACCTTGATTAAGAAAGGAGACTCCTGATCTTCATCTTGACTTCATATAAGAAAGACGTCAGCAAAATGACCCGTGAAGGTCAGGGGAGACTCAAAGACCATCTGGGCAATCCCCACGCTTTACAGGCAAGGGAGATAAAGTCCTGGGGGGTGGAAGCAGAGCTGAGATTGAAGCCCAGGACTCCAGGGGGTGACTGGTCCAGGTTTCTGGACCATCCTATCCTTCTCAGAAGCCACTGAGACCAAAATGGCACTAGAGGCGCTAGTGTGATGTGCGTTGAATATGAATGCAGAAATTATTAATTCTAGAAATCCAGCTGCATTAGAGCTCAATTATTTGCATGATCTCAGCAATGGCAGTTTCATATATTTGGAGTTAATTAAACAATTTTTCCATCTTATAAGAAAGTTGGCATAATGCACTGGTTCATTCCATGCATCTAAAGAAAGCTATGGACTTTGCCCCCAAAATACAAACACCCAATTCTGAAACAATTCCAAAGGGTTCCCAAAACCAATGAAACCTACAGATAATCCACCAGGTGTTCTTGGTCCCCAGATTAAGAACTCCCAGAGAAGAAAGACCTCAGAATTTTTAGCTAAAAGTCCAAGGTTCAAATCTTGGCTCTACCATTCACTAGTTCTATGACCTTGGGCCAGTCCCCAAATCTCTGAGCCTCCATTTCCTCATCTGTGAAATGAGATAACACCTCCTACCTCACAGGGTAGTTCTAGGATTAAAAGAGATGGGAAGTCTCATAACATAGGGTTTGTGGTCAGCAATAAGTCATAGAGACTGAGTATTGTCTTTGTGCCAGGCTCTGTCCTATGTACTTTCCCTGCACTGTCTCAGCACCCCTAGAAGACACGTCCTGTTATTATCCTCGTTCCACAGATGAGGAAGCTGAGATGAGAGACGTTAGAAATTTGCCCAAGCCGACATAGCTCCTAAAGAGCCATTGCAAGGCCAGGTAGTGGGCTCCAGAGGCCCTGTTCTCAACCACTGCATCATATTGTCTCATTGAATGACAATTCAATTTACTCCAGAAGTGTGGTTTAAAAAAAAAATTAAGAGCAGATAAGAGAGAAGAAGAATAGAAAAGAACAGACGGATCACATGAGGAATGAGTTGACCCAAGGACTCTTTTCAAACCTGCCCATTTTGCCCTTTTCTTGGGACAGAGGCAGACCAGCAGGGTCCTGAGCCCTGGGCAGCAGAGGGCCCTTGCGGTCAGCGTCACCCAGGTTCCGGAGACTTGCGCTATGAAGACACGTTTACATGTGCAGGCACCGTCCTAGATGCTTTCCATAAATCATCCTGTTCAATTGTCATTATCCCTGTGAGATAGAAACTACTGTTCAGCTCCATTTTATAGATGAGGAGACTGAGACACAGGTTAAAAAGCTACCCCAAGACCACAGCCTAGAGGGAGGCAGAGCTGGGCAGAAACCTCAGATTGGCCTGAAGCCAAAGCTTTTAACTGCTGCTCTAAACTACCTCCCACTACAGGGCCCCAGAGACAGTTTAACATGACGGTCAAATCCAGGTCAAAGTCCGGAGGGCTTGTTAGGGACGGAAGTCAAACAAACACAACCCATACACTGCCCACTGGAGCGGACCCCACCCAGTGTGAACTGCTTGGGTGTGGTGGGCTCATCAGAGAAGCCGTCCAATGGCAGGAGGAGGGAAGTGAGTTGGAGAGTAAAGGGCTGGTGGACGAGGGAGGGGATACTTTAAAAGAGGAAGTCAGGGGTTTGAACTCCAGCTAGGAAGGAACAGCATTCTGAGTTCCAGGGCCCCTGGGAAAACTCACACCCCCATCAGCCTGCAGCTCAGCACCCCATGGTCTTGCGTAAACACTAGCAGGGCACAGGGACAGCCCCTCACCCCATCCCCTCCAGGCAGGTGAACTAGACCTCATTCCTTGGCTCTGAATCCAGCCGCGGGATTAGCAGCAGCAAGTCAGTGGGGTGAGACAGAGACTTTCCAAAGGAAGTCATACAGGGCAAGGGAAAAGCCGACGCCCGCTTCTACGTGGGTGTTCTTATGTCCCTCATCTTGCTTCACAGTAGTGTTTCCTAACCTTGGCCACACAATGGAATTACCTGAGGAGCTTTTACAAAATACCAACACTCTCTAGGGATGGCCCCTGGAGATTGGTACGTCAAAAATTCACCAGGGGTCCAAAACTGCAGCCAGGATGGAGAATCCACACTTGGTTCATCACCCTCCATGTTGATACCGACCCTGGTATCAGTTTCCCCACATTAAACCCAGCATATATGGGGTTAAAACCAAAACACTCATTCCCTGCTTACTCTCTGGCTTCCTGCCTCCAGAATCCCCTATCCTCCATGGAAACAGACACCATCAAGGACAAGCACCTGGACCATCTCCTCCCCACAAAGAGA